GAGAGAGAGAGAGAGAGAGAGAGAGAGAGAGAGAGAGAGACTGTGTGAGAGGGAGAGATGGTAATACCATCATGGTATCGTTAACTAATCATGTTTAATTTGTATATGCGATACATGTTATATGCGCTCTCCAGTGTCCCTCACCAAACATGCACCCCATCGCACACAACACATACACACAGACTGAGTGCCGACCCCTCGCACTATCAGTGCCTGCAATCAGTACACAAAACCAGTGCCGCCCCCTCTCTATAACACACATACCCATCACAGCATAGCACAGGGGCTATCATTATAGCACACAAGTACAGTACATATTATACACAAACCGACTGATACGCTGTACTCAACCGCATAGGCACAGCGTGTGATGCGGTACAGTATGTGCGACACACTGTGCTTAATGTTGACATTGGTTTTTGGTGTTAGCATTGAATGAATTGAGAGTTTTGTGTAGTAAATTTGTGTTGTGTTTTGTGAACTCCAAGTGCAAAATGGCTCACAAAACAATGCACTGACGGTCACAACACGAGACACACATTACACAACACGAGTGACCCGTAATGTGTGGCCAACACCGGGACAGTAAGTCCTGACCGCCCGATACAGTCGACTCCCGTTAAATCAGTAGACAATAGCAGTTGTTTCGCATATCATATCATAATCTGTGCTCTTATTTACAGTTTATATCAGTTTTTGTATTGCTTTTTGTTTTTGTCTATTTTGCTAACCATTTATCACACCTGAAGACATCACGAGACAACTGATCCGCGCCCATGAAAGTGATCTACGAGTACCTGAGACAGCGGCGCCACCCGTCGGCCTCCAGCTATCACCCGATGGATCCGCAACAGACGGGTGCGCAAGTGATTGGCGCCACCGGTGGTGGCCTTTGCTCTGGATCTGCCGCCGGATCAGCTGTTGGCGGCGCCGGCGGTGGTCAGCATATGGTGAGCGCCGGCTCCAGACATATCATCGCGTTTGAGTCCATACAGATTAACAAAGAGTTGGGTGTCGGCGAGTTTGGTGTCGTTCAACAGGGTTAGTGTTGTCAGCCATCAGCTGATCCGCTGTGTATAGAGTGGCCAACTGTTTGGTGGGAACCAATCGCGAGTGTCTGTGTCTGTTGTTAATACATACCATCCGTACGAGTGATGACAGACACACACCGTTGCCATCGCTGGTGTGTCTGTCACACAGCTGTGCAAAACAGCTGATGGATCACCCGATCCGTGACCGGTGACCTCCCGGTCACTCCACTAACCACCAGATGATAACACACACTATGATTGGTTCCCATCCATCGAGTTGTCACACACACTATCAATAACTAATCCACTCTAATCACTGACCCTATTATCTGATCCGCTAATCACTGTATTATCTCTCACTTACTCCCGATGGGCGGTCATCAGGCGTGTGGTGTAACGACGAGGGCAAACGGATCCAAGTGGCCATCAAATGCCTATCATCGCAACGGTTCGACACGTCGCGCATCGAGTTCGTCAAAGAGGCGACAATAATGCACGACATCTCACACGAGCACATCGTCCGCCTCTACGGTGTGGTACTCGAGCCGTCGCTAATGTTGGTGACAGAGTTGGCGCCGTTGCGGTCGCTGTTGGAGTGTCTGAAAGAGCCCGCACTGATCAGTCAGTTCCCGATCATAGCGTTGTGTAACTTTGCCGCCCAAATAGCCGACGGTATGGCCTATTTGGAGGCCAATCGGCTGATCCATCGGGATTTGGCCGCACGTAATATACTGGTGTTCGCCAAGAATAAGGTGAAAATATCGGACTTTGGCCTCAGCCGCGCGCTCGGCGTCGGCAAAGACTACTATCAGACCAACTTTAACGTGAATCTTAAGCTACCGATCGCCTGGTGTGCGCCCGAGTGTATCAATTATCTCAAGTTCACGTCGATGTCCGACGTGTGGGCATACGGTGTGACCCTATGGGAGATGTATAGCTATGGGTTCCAGCCGTGGGCGGCGTTGACCGGCCAACAGATACTGGAGGCCATCGACGAGCCCTCCTATCAACGCCTGGAACAGCCCGACTGCTGTCCCCGCGAGTACTACTCACTGATGTTGAGGTGTTGGGCGCACGACCCGACTGTGCGGCCAAAGTTTGCCGAAATTGTCTCCATTTTGCCCGACTGTCGACCGGAGTTGGTTCAGGCGGTGAAGACCAGCATCGAGTCACCGGTGCCGCCGCCCGCCGGCGCCAAAGAGCACTTGCCGTATAAGTCGGGCGACATTATCACCGTTTTGGACAAATGCGGACAACAATCGGCTGTGAATAACAACAATATCACTAATAATAACCACTCGTCGTCGTTGAGTATGTGTTCAAACGCCACGAGTGTCTCGTCTATGGCCGGCGGCGGTCACGATAACGCCGGGACTCTTTGGAAAGGTATGTGTTTAGAGAGATTAAGACATTTATCATAACCTGATCCATGACTCACAGGCGCCCTAAACAACGGCAAAACCGGTTACTTCAACCCCAGCGACTGTGTCTCCTATTTGGGCCAAAACCTGCCCACGTCTTCGTCCCAATCGCTGTCCACATCGACGTCCGGCGGTATCGGCGGCGCCGGCGGTCGGGAGTCATCGTCAGCCACCTCTACACTGGCGTCACACGTACTGCAGTCTAAGTTTATACGCGGTTTTCTCGACTCGCGTCACAACAGCGGCGGCAGTCACTCATCAACCGGTGGCCAATCGGCTGCTGCGGCCGCCGCTGGCAACCAATCGCCGTACGGTTCCCGACGCCGGATACGGCCCGACATGATTAGCCGACCGCAGGGCGATCTCGTCCACACCGGTCACGTGGGCGCCGACGGGGCCTTCTTCGGCGA